TATTATAGGCGATGATGTAGCGACGTTCGAAAAGATAATAAGGAACATTTATAGTAAGATCGAGCGCACACACGTGTATATTACCCGAACGAGGTGTTGTTGTTTGTGTGTAACACACAACCTCTTCCCTCGTCTCGTCGTGTACGCGAGTGCGTATCTTTTTTATAAATCTTATTGAAAATCTTTTCGTCGTCCCACCATCATATAATACGTATAATTTTCGAACGCACCACGCCGTATAGAGCGCTTCTAGTACGCGCGAGCGCGCGCTCGGGGTACGTTCCGACACGCGTATATCGCATAGACATAATATTGTGTTGTATGCGTATGCGTATGTACACACGTGTCTCTACGACGTCGTCGTCTGTACGGATGGCGATATTTTCGACGGGTAACTCTATATGGGAGAAGAACGGAGATATGTCGTCGTGTCCGCACGACTCATTTCCTTCTTTTCCGGTTGTTTTTAAAGATATTCGCCCGTTAGTCGAAATTTCTACGCCATACGAAAAGACGGTACAAGAGGACGACACGTGTTGTACGCTTAATACATACATATATATTCATGTTATGTACAACTCTGTTGTAGTGTTATTTGTACCCCTTGCACACGCGTATGCTATAGAAGCGCGATACGGATAGAATGCGCGCGTACACGAGAGACTTCGTCGGCACGCTCGTTTGTTATAAACGCGCAAAAATAATTTTGCGCGTTTGCCGCGCAAAATACACGAAGTCTCCGTGAGAAATGCGCGCTTTCTTTTTTTTATATATTTTCTTTAATAACATTAGCCATTATCATAACAATAAAGACGTATCGATATATATTTTATATATATAGAGATCGTCTAATTAAAAAACGATTACCCTGAACGGTGAATCACTTGGCTCGTGGGTCGATGAAGAACGCAGCTAATTGCGCGTCAACTTGTGAACTGCAGGACACATGAACATCGACATTTCGAACGCACATTGCGGTCCTCGGATACTGTTCCCGGACCACTCCTGGCTGAGGGTCGTATCAATTTAAAAGACTGCTCGGTTTCCTCTCCGATCTCTGTTCGCGTCGTCGTATTATCTCTTTATCCGAGAGACGACGACGACGACGACGACATGAGAGAGGAGAATGAAACGTCGGAGCGTGTTGGATGTAGACGCGGCGGTACGACGCGACGACGCTAGTTATTATATATTTATTTATGTAATATCGTAAACGTCGTCGTCTTTGTCGTCGTCGCGGCATCTCAAAACGCGAAAGCGACGATTCGTTCGTCATACGAACGAATCGTAAACTCACACATAGAACGAACACGCGCGCTGTACGGATAAAAATCGTAATAGCACTACATATATATATATATATATATATATATATGTATATATGCTGTAGTCGTTACGCGTTTCGAACTTGCGCTGCGATCGTCGTGTCCGAGAGAGAAATTATTTTTTTCGAGATAACGACGTCTGATCGCATATACGCGCTAAACACTAGAGAACGCTTTCGACTAGTAGTAGTATAGCAGCAGCAGCTATACGATTTAGTATTAGCGATCGCGTGTGACATATATATCTGTGTGTGGTGTTGTGTTGTATATTGTTAACCGACCTCAGAGCAGGTGAGACTACCCGCTGAATTTAAGCATATTACTAAGCGGAGGAAAAGAAACTAACTAGGATTCCCTCAGTAGCTGCGAGCGAACAGGGAAAAGCCCAGCACCGAATCCCGCGGTCGATATCGGGCGCCGGGAAATGTGGTGTTAGGGAGGATCCGTTTATCCCGAGGTCGCGCGGCGAGTCCAAGTCCTTCTTGAACGGGGCCACAGCCCATAGAGGGTGCCAGGCCCGTAGTGGCCGCTGCCGATCGCGGGAGGATCTCTCCTCAGAGTCGGGTTGCTTGAGAGTGCAGCCCTAAGTGGGTGGTAAACTCCATCTAAGGCTAAATATGACCACGAGACCGATAGCGAACAAGTACCGTGAGGGAAAGTTGAAAAGCACTTTGAAGAGAGAGTTCAAGAGTACGTGAAACCGTTCAGGGGTAAACCTGAGAAACCCGAAAGGTCGAAAGGGGAAATTCATTCGCGTTTCGGCCGTCGGCGATGAGCGGTCGCGCGACGGACGGCGTTCGCGCGTCGTCCGCGCCTTTCGCTTTTCGATCCGGCGTCGAACGCGTGCACTTTTCCCCTAGTAGGACGTCGCGATCCGTTGGGTGTCGGTCTACGGCTCGCGGTGGAGTCCGTGTACGATCGTTTCGGCGATTCGTGCTCGAACCCGCGATGTTCCGGCCGACTCGCTCGACGGTATACAGATGGCGCGAGGCCGCTACTTCTTCAATTAGCGTCCGACCCACGACAAGCACGTTCGATGCTAAGACGGCGATCGGACCTAGCGCCCGGTTCCGTCCCCGGACGACTGTTGGTCGTGCGGATTTCTCGGACAGACCTCGTTTGAAACGCCGATCTGCGACGCTATAGCTTTGGGTAATTTCAGGACCCGTCTTGAAACACGGACCAAGGAGTCTAGCATGTGCGCGAGTCATTGGGACATAACTAAACCTAAAGGCGCAATGAAAGTAAAGATCCGCCTAGCGCGGATTTAGGGAAGATGGGCGGCACGTCTATAAAGCGGCCGCTCCGCACTCCCGGGGCGTCTCGTTCTCATTACGAGAAGAGGCGCACCAAGAGCGTACACGCTGGGACCCGAAAGATGGTGAACTATGCCTGGTCAGGACGAAGTCAGGGGAAACCCTGATGGAGGTCCGTAGCGATTCTGACGTGCAAATCGATCGTCGGAACTGGGTATAGGGGCGAAAGACTAATCGAACCATCTAGTAGCTGGTTCCCTCCGAAGTTTCCCTCAGGATAGCTGGCGCTCGTCTGTGACGAGTTTCATCCGGTAAAGCGAATGATTAGAGGCATTGGGGTCGAAACGACCTCAACCTATTCTCAAACTTTAAATGGGTGAGATCTCCGGCTTGCTCGAACTAATGAAGCTGCGAGAATCGAATCAGAGTGCCAAGTGGGCCATTTTTGGTAAGCAGAACTGGCGCTGTGGGATGAACCAAACGTCGAGTTAAAGCGCCTAAATCGACGCTTATGGGATACCATGAAAGGCGTTGGTAACTTAAGACAGCAGGACGGTGGCCATGGAAGTCGGAATCCGCCAAGGAGTGTGTAACAACTCACCTGCCGAAGTTACTAGCCCTGAAAATGGATGGCGCTGAAGCGTCGTGCTTATACTCGGCCGTCAGCGGCATGTGCGGTCTCGATCCGCGTAAAAACGGATCGGCCATGAAGCTCTGACGAGTAGGAGGGTCGCGGCGGTGCGCGCAGAAGGGCTGGCCGTGAGGCCGTCTGGAGCCGCCGTCGGTGCAGATCTTGGTGGTAGTAGCAAATACTCCAGCGAGGCCCTGGAGGACTGACGTGGAGAAGGGTTTCGTGTGAACAGCCGTTGCACACGAGTCAGTCGATCCTAAGCCCTAGGCGAAAGCCGATGTTGATGTGGCGTTGTTTTATAAATATATGTATGTATGTGTGTATATATAAAGAACACGCCCGTCGGGCGAAAGGGAATTCGGTTCCTATTCCGAAACCCGGCAGCGGAACCGTACAATAGTCGGGCCCTCGCAAGAGAGTTCGTCGGGGTAACCCAAAAAGACCCGAAGACGCCGTCGGGAGACCAGGGAAGAGTTTTCTTTTCTGCATAAGCATTCGAGTTCCATGGAATCCTCTAGCAGGGAGATATGGTTTGGAATGCGAAGAGCACCGCAGTTGCAGCGGTGTCCTGGTCTTCCCCTCGGACCTTGAAAATTCGGGAGAGGGCCACGTGGAGGTGTCGCGCCGGTTCGTACCCATATCCGCAGCAGGTCTCCAAGGTGAAGAGCCTCTAGTCGATAGAATAATGTAGGTAAGGGAAGTCGGCAAATTGGATCCGTAACTTCGGGATAAGGATTGGCTCTGAGGATCGGGGCGTGTCGGGCTTGGCGAGGAAGCGGGTCGCGGCTGACGTGCCGGGCCTGGGCGAGGTGAAACGTTCTGTCGTATGCGTTCGCGCGTGTGCGGTAGGATTGCGGATCCGAACTCGGTACCGTGCCTTGGCCTCCCGCGGAACCGTCTTGCTGCGAGGCCCAGAGTGCGCTCGCAAGGGCGTTCTGGTGTCCTCTTCGGCCGCCATTCAACGGTCAGCTCAGAACTGGCACGGACCGGGGGAATCCGACTGTCTAATTAAAACAAAGCATTGAGATGGCCCCTGCGGGTGTTGACTCAATGTGATTTCTGCCCAGTGCTCTGAATGTCAACGTGAAGAAATTCAAGCAAGCGCGGGTAAACGGCGGGAGTAACTATGACTCTCTTCTCCGCCGCTGAGGAGTGTGCACGTGTGTGCGACACAACGCGATTTTTATAAACGCATCAAGAAATTCTACCGCGTCGCGGCGCCCTCAATAACGGGCAGCACACGTGCAGTGACGGGTTTAGTGCGTGGGAGTGAAGACAGCGGGGTGAGTGCAAGGGCTGGTATCAAAAAGGGAAAATTAGAGAAACAACGCGATTCTAACCTAGAAATCTTACAATAAAGGTTAGAATCGCACGACAAGCCGCGGGCCCCATATTGTCTTTGGGCATCGCGCATCTAATAGAATATCACACCAGCTCGATTGCCCCCGCAACGCCGGTTTCCGGCGTCAAGCCGCTAGTGCCCTTTTGGCAAGTACATCGTGTCCGACGGGGCCAAAAAGGCGTCCAATCAATCATCTACCGGCCCCAAGGACACACACCAAATCTCAGCTCCATAACTCGACAGTTAACGCCGTACTGGCCGTATTAAGTGCGGCCAGGTATCAGGAGACCAGGAGCTGGGAGGAGGTAGTTCCGGAGATAAAATCTTTCACACGCGATATCTCCGGAACCAGACCACGTAGCGGCAAACGGTCTTCACTCCCATACGCGGAAAGGACAGTGCTTTAACCTACCCAAAGACACTCAAACGGCGGCGGCGCATGCGCAATGGCGGATTCCAAGAGGAAGACATTTAAAACCGCTGTTGCGGCAGAGAGAGTTAGAACACGTGACATGACGTCACGTCACCCCACCCGCAAGAGGAAATTCGATATAAATGAGGGGGAACCAGTTAAATCCCCTCCAGCGGGTGGAAAATCGACTGCCGGTGGCCCAACAGCCACCGGAACCAAATTGGCAGGCTCGAATACCGTTTCTCCAATACCAGGGCCCAGTAATACGGTGACCCTGCAGCCTGCCAATGCAGCACCATACAGGTGTCAAATATGCGAGAGGCCCTATGAGACAAAAAGTGGCCTCAACAAACATCTCCTAACATGTGGCAAGCGCGATCGAACTAAATGCCAATATTGCAAAGCAGGTTTTACTACATACACAGGGGTGCGGCTTCACGAGCAGAGGGCACACCCCGAAGCAGAAAACGACAGCAGGAGGAGGGAACTACGAAGGCCTGATTCCGAAATCTATGATATACTGGCAAACATCGAGATCCAGTCACATAAAGGCCCCTTTATGGCGAAAATGGTTGCCGAATCAGGTCTGACGAAGGACCAAATACGGCATCGAAGAGATAAACCCATCTATAAGCAATACCTCGATGCCGCTAGGAAGAAACAGCAACCAATCCCTTCTCCCAGTGTGCCCTGTGAGCCGCCCACCTGCCCAACGAACGAGAAGATCGACCATCAGGCAGCGACATCGACGCCACCAACAGCTCGCGACGATGTAAAAGAGGGTGAGTGCTCCTCCGCGGTTGCGTCCGCACTATCGCCAATCACTCCAGATCCGATGACAAGCAGGAAGAGGATTCGGAATGAATCGATGTCGCCTCTGTCGCAGCCTACAGTAAGGAGACCCCCGCACCGATGCAGTCAACCTCACCGCCAACTCCCCGCACAGGTCGAACAAACCCAGGTGGTCATTGAACCAGCGCTGCGCGAATACCTCGCGTCTGAACGCGAAGCAGCGCTGGCCAATGGGAACGGCCATCTGGCGGACCTGTGCCAGGCAGGATCATCGCTTGCGGTTAATGATCTTGCCTCCTATCTAGACAATTGGATAATAGAACATTTCCAAAAAGGGGGAAGGAAATACAACCCAAATGGTCACAGAGGTGGACCAAAATCAAATTACGGAGGTACTAGACCAGGAAGAGGTCCACGGGTAGAATCATACAAAAAGGCCCAGGATCTCTACCTCCGTAACAGATCAGCTCTAGTGGATAAAATCATTTCAGGAACTCCACTAGACTCTACTGAAGAGGTACCACCTCTAAAAGCGGTTGAGGAGCTGTATAGCGGGATCTTCGAGCGGGCTGCGACGGAGACGATGACGGTTCATCCGAACCACGAAACACCGATGCCACCACTTTCGCTCCATTCGAAGAAAGCGAACTAGAGGCAGCCAAACAGCATGGGCTAACTCAGCACCTGGTGCTGACGGGATAACGGTGGCATCGGTTTAAAAATACGAACAACAGGGTGCTATGTGTTTTATATTCAATAATCCCTTATGAGAAACGTGCACCCTGCCATCTTCCTGCGGTCTAGGACCACAATTATATATAAAGACGGCCAACGGAGCGAGGCGGCGAATTGGAGGCCCCTTACTATCGGGAGTGCCCTCCAGCGACTGATGCACAGGGCGATGGCTAACCGCTTGCGGAAGGTCGTCGCCCTGGAAGCCAATCAACGCGGATTTAGTACGCTGGACGGCACTCTCGCGAATTGTATGATTCTACACTCATACATTCGGAATAGGGTGTCCTCCAATAAAGTACGCGGTCGCTTCACTCGATTTGCGGAAGGCCTTTGACACTGTTGGACATGGGAGCGTTGTGGGAGCTCTCAGACGGTTTGGGGTGGACGAGCGTTCCATACGTTACGTTGCGACAAACTTGGCAACCTCTGTGACACAGATTCGGGTGGGGCAGGAAACGACGAGGGACATTGGGTTTAGCTGCGGTGTAAAGCAAGGGGATCCGCTGAGTCCGCTACTTTTCAATCTAGTGATTGATGAGCTTCTGGCCGGGCTTAATAATGGGGAGCGAGGCGGAACAATATTGCCTGGGGTGAGGGGTCTGCCATGGCGTTTGCGGACGACATAGTCTTGCTCGAGGATCGGGAGGAGATATCCCTCTGGTCCTCGATGAGATTGTTGAGTTCGCGAAGTCCAAAGGCATGGCACTAAACCCTAAAAAGTGCTCAGCCATGGTCGTGGGATTGGCGAGGGGTGTCCTGGCGCCTAGGAAAGATTACAACTTACGATTGGATGGACGCCGCGTGGCCATGGTGACGGAGGTCAACAGCTTCCGTTATCTTGGCCATGAAGCGTCCGTCAAAGGACTAATGCGCCCTTCCCTCGCTAATCTACCGACCTGGCTGGCCAATCTTAAGAGATCCCTCTTAAGCCGGACCAGAAGTTCGCAATCCTCAAAATCACATTATCCCTAAGCTATTCTATGGCCTGCAAACCCAAGGGACG